TCTGTCCTCTAGGGGCGCTGTGGGTCAGAATGGACTCCACGGCCGTGGGTGTGGTTTGGGCTTTGCTTCTGTGAAGATTGACAGCCTTGGCGACCCTGTGGGCAGTTCCACTCTGTCCTCTAGGGGCGCTGTGGGTCAGAATGGACTCCACTGCAGTGGGTGTGGGTTTTTGTATTTTTGTGTGTGCCGGGCCTGGGTGGAGCTGTTCAGCCAGCCTTTTCATAGTCTGTCTCCCTGCCAGAAATGGAAGCTTCCTTGAGACTCAGGAAAAGCCCTGGGGAAACGTGTAGGGGCCTGGGTGATGCAGGCAGTTTGCAGTCGCCGCTAACCTAAGGGTTGGCGGTCTGAGTCCACGCAGCACCTCCACAGAGGAAAGCCCTGGCAGTCTGCTTCCGTGAAGATTATGGCCTAGAACATCCTGTGGGGCAGACCTACTGTGTGACACACGGGGTCGCTGTGGGTCGGGACAGCTCACTGGCAGCTAAGCTCATCAGGAAAGCGTGTCGGGGCCGTGTTGGTTCAGGGCTGGGACTCCTGCCTTCCACGCAGGAAGCCTGGGTTTGATCCCGGCCTGTGTGCCTCTGCTCAGCCACTACCCAAGGTTATGGAGGCCTGTGTGTTGCTGGGACGCTGGACGTGTTTCAGCCTGAGGCAGAGTAGGAAGTGAGGCCTGGTGATGACGTCCACAAATCAGCCCGCGGGAGCTCTATGGAGCTCCAGTCAGGGCCGCCTGCCAGCGGCTGACACAGGGTCACTGGTAGCCCCGCCCCCTTTGAAGTGCAGGGACCTTGAACTCACATCTCTGTTTGTCCCTTCTCTCCACAGTCCGGGGCTTCCCCTCAGAGAAGGCCTTCGAGGACTACATCAAGTATGACAACCGCTCCTCCAACGTGCTGGCCGCACTGGTTTTCCAGCACACCTTCAACCACAGCAAGGACCCCCTGCCGCTGGCGGTGAGAGGCCCCTTGGCTGCCCAGGCGTCCGCAGGGCCTTAGGGTCCCCTGTGAGAATGCCCCCATCGCTGCATGGAGGGCCCGAGGGGCGTCCGCAGGGCCTCGGTGTCCCCTGTGAGAATCCCCCCATCGCCGCGTGGAGGGGCTGCAGGGCCTACTGTCCCCTGTGAGAATCCCCCCGTCGCTGCATGGAGGGCCCGAGGGGCGTCCGCAGGGCCTCGGTGTCCCCTGTGAGAATCCCCCCATTGCCGCGTGGAGGGGCTGTGGTGTATCCGCAGGGCCTTCCTGTCCAACCCCCGTACGCTGACCCCGCCTACAGAAGCTACTGCTTCTCCCAAAACTTGTGCCCAAGAGTGGACACTAGACTGTCCCTCTGGGCCCGGGGTCACCTTGGCTCTGCTGAGGTGCCCTGCCGCTCCGTTGACCTGAAGGAACAGCCGGCGGGGCCCTCTCAGCTCCCACGTCTCAGAGACGGTACTGCTCAGTGCTCAGTGGACAAGGGGCGGCCCCGCAGGGAGGTGGATCGATGCGCAGGCGTCGCGGGGACTGTGAGGCGGTGCGGGGCTGGGGGTGTCTCCTGTGCACGGGGTGACTGGGAGTCGGAGGCGACTCAGTGGCACCGGACAACACAACAGCAACAGCATCTCCTGGCCTCTGAGGTGGGGTCAGAGGGCATGGAGAGGAGAGGGGCGGTGCTGAGGCTTAACCCCCACGGACGTGAGGATTCTGGTTGTATGTTAACGAGAAAGAAAAGGCCAAGTCCTTTCTCCTCCTGGGAATCCATCACAGCCATCTAGCATTGCCTCGGTGGCCCCCATGGTTACCGGGGACCCGTCTCACGGAGAGTTCACTTTGGGTATTGGCAAGAGAGAGCAGCTGAGGGCACCCCGAAGGTGCCCGTGTGGGGCTCCCTGCGCCCACTGACATTCCGGGCCCCCACGGTTGTTGGGGGGCGGGGCAGGGAGGGAGGACTTCCGGTGGTGCAGCCACACCTGCCTCCCCGCGCCTCACGCTCTGGGTCCTCTGTCTCCGAAGGTGAAGTACCACCTGCGCTTCAGCTGCACGCGGAGGAACTACATGTGGACGAAGACGGGCGCCTTCTTCCTGAAGGAGACGGAGGGCTGGCACACCACCTCCCTCTTCCCTCTCTTCCCCAGCCCGGGCCCGAGGGAGCCCACGTCCCCTGACGGCGGGGAGCCCGGTAAGAGGCGGCTTGGCTGGCTGAGCGGTTAGCACCACGCTGCTAACTGGCAGTGATGACGCAGGAAAGCAGCGCCCCTGCCACCCACACCTGTACCCCACGTCCCCTCCCCCTACCTTACGCTCAGGTCCCAGGGACCCAGGCCGCCTGTGCAATCCTAGTGTTATTCCTGGCCCCCAGAGTGGCGCAGATGGTTACACACCCGGCTCCTGGCTGAAGGTTGGCAGTCCGAACCCACCCAGAGGCCTTTCGGGACACAGGGGCGATCCGCTTCTGAGGCCACAGCCCTGCAAACCCCATGGGGCACAGTTCTCTGCACACATGGGGTCGCCTCAAGTCCGAATCAACTCCATGTCAACCAACAGCGTCAGGCCCACTCTCCTCAGGCTCAGTGTCCCCCACGCCTGGCTCTGCGTTGGGGTCCACAGCAACCAACAATGTCAGGCCCATTCTTTCCTCAGGCTCAGTCCCCCCACACCTGGCTCTGCATTGGGGTCCTGTCTCCCCATGTTACTGTCCTTCCTGTTCTGACAACAGGTGGCCCAGGCTCACCTCACTGCAGGGCTTTCGTTACAGACACCCAAGGGGGCGTGACAGGTGAGCAGAAGGAGGTTAGGAGGCACGCAGAGGCCACACCCTGAGCGTGGCGTTCACTATGGTAGGCAGAGTTGCTGACCGCCAGGCGTGCCTGATCACCGACAGGTGTTTGCAGCCGTTTCTTCCAAGTCGTGCCTCCTCAGCAGATGGCGGTCCCAAGAGCTTTACTCCATCTATGTGTCATCAAGGTCAGCTCTGCTTTGAGGAGGCAGCTAGCTCTCCCCGACCTCATGTTCTGAGTGCCTTCCAACCTGAGGACTCATCTCACGGCCCTACATCAGACCAAACCAAAAACCAAACTCCCTGCCATCAAGTTGATTTTGACTCACAGCCACCCCTCCTTGGGTTTCCGAGACAGTATCACTACAGAAGCAGATTGCCCAACCTTCCTTCCAAGGAGCAGCCAGTGGGTTTGAACCACCAGCCTTCTGGTTCACAGTCAGATGCCTTAGGCACTGTGCCACCAGAGCTCCTGCTGCGTCGGACGTATTCTGCCCTTCACAAGGTTGTCACCGGCCACTTCTTTGACAAGTACATCCCTAGGTCCTTCTGCCAGTCCGTCTCAGTCTGGAAGCTCCGCTGAAACCCGCCCACCTTGGTGACCCTGCTGAGACTGGAAATACCAGTGGCATAGTCCCCAGCTTCGCAGCAGCATGAAAGCCCTCACAGTACCTGTGCCCATTCCAAAGAAAGGTGATCCCACAGAATGTGGAAATTATCAAACAGTATCATTAATACCACACACAAATAAATTTTTGCTAAAGATAATTTTAAAATGGTTGCAGCCATATATTGACAGGGACCTTAGAGAAATGGAAGTCGGATTCAGAAGCGGGCATGGAACGAGGGACGTCGTTGCTGATGTCTGGTGGGTCTTGGCCGAAAGCAGAAGAGCTGGTTCCCTGGCACTGCTCCAACAGAAGATGCCACTAATCGGGGACTTTAACAAACAGGAGCTTATTCTCCCACAGTTTGGAGGCTAGAAATCCAAGTTCAAAGTGCCAGGCTCTCGGGGCTGGCTGAAAGCCCTCGACCTTGGCCTTCAGCCCTGCCTCTTGCTCCTGGCCACTGGAGCTGGAGTGTCTCTCCACTCAGGCAGCTGCTGGCTGCTGAGGCTGACAAGCCCACAGGTGACAAATAAAATGGCACAATCCCGATATTACCAAACAGCACTGCAGACTACAAGTCTAGGGACAGTCCCAAGTTCACCAGCAAACATGGCAGGCTGTTAAATGAAGACTCGGCTACCTGCAGGATTCAAGCATGCCAAAAGCTACCAACCAGTCCTAAATCTTCTACTTATGGACTGTGAACCGACCACATCCCTAAGGCAGCTACTCAGCTGCTAACAGTAGATTCCTCCGTGGAGTTAATCACCAGTCTCACTGTGGGGAATACTCCATCCAGCTGCCCAGCCACTCAGCCGGGCCCAGCCAAGCCGACATATAACCTTAACTACGAGAGCAGAGAATACCAGAAAGATGTGTACTTGTGTTTTATTAACCACACAAAGGCATTCGACTGTGTGGATAATAAAACAGTGTGGATGACGCTGAGAAGAATGGGAATTCCAGACACTCAGTGGTGCTCATGGGGAACCTGTACACGGACCAAGAGTCTGTCATTCAAACAGAACAAGGGGATACTGGGTGGTTCAAAATCAGGAAGGGTGTGTGTCAGGATTGTATCCTTCCACCACACTTATCCAGTCTCTCTGCTCAGCTAATAATTCCAGAAGCCGGAGGATACGCGGCATCAGGATCGGAGGAAGCAACAACCCACGATACGCAGATGACACAGCCTTGCTGCTGAAAGTGAGGGGGACTTGAAGCCCTTACTGAAGATCAAAGACTGCGGTCCGCAGTGTAGATTACAGCTAACATAAAGAAAATGAAAATCCTCACATCTGGACCAATAAAGAACATCACTGTAAATGGAGAAAACACTGAAGTTGTCAAGGATTTCGTTTTACTTGGATCCACGATCAGTGTTCACGGAAGCAGCAGTCAGCTCATTGGATGATGTTATTGCACTGGGCAGATCTGCTGGGAAAGACTTCTTTCAAACAGCAAAGAAGTCACTTTGAGGACCAAAGTGTGTCTAACCCAACCCTAGTATCTTCAGTTGCCTCACATGTATGTGAAACCTGCACAGTCAATAAGGAAGACTCAGCAAGAACTGATGCCTTTGAATTACGGTGTTGGCGAAGAACACTGAACATACCATGGACCACCAGAAGAACTAGCAAATCTGTCTCAGAAGAAATACAGCCAGAATGCCCCGCAGAAAGGAGTATGGCCAGACTTGGTCTCACCTGCTCTGGTCGCGTTGTCAGAAGGGACCAGTCCCAGGAGAAGGCTGTCATGCTTGGTAAAGTGGGGGGTCATAAAAAAGGGGAAGGCCCTCAACGAGATGGACGAGCACAGGGGCTCCCACGATGGGCTCACGCGTAGCAAGGGTTGTGAGGGTGGTGCAGGGCCGGGCAGGGCTTTGCTCTGTTGTACACGGGGTTGCTATGCGGAGTCAACCTGACGCCTAGCAACAGCAACGGGAGCGTCCACGTCTTAGTCCTGGGAACCTGTGAGTGTGCTGGCCAGGGGCGTCAGAGGCTGCAGCTGGAATGAAGGGCGCGGATCCTCTGACCTCACAGTAGGCAGATGATCTGGATCACTCGGGTGGCCCAGCGTGGTCACAAAACCAGAACACCAAACCCACTGCCATTGAGTGGATTCAGACTCATGGTCACCCTATGGAACAAAGTGGAACTGCCCGCAGCGTCTCCAAGGCTGTCAGTCTTCACGGAAGCAAAGCCAAAACCAAACCCGCCACTGTGGAGTGGATCCCGACTCACAGCGCCCCTAGAGGATAGAGTGGAACCACACCCCAGGGTCTCCAAGGCTGCAAGTCTTGGCCAATGAAAGGCTAACGTAAAATATATTCATAATTGCAGCAGGAATGACTTATTATCCCTAAGGTCGTCCCTTTTTTTCTTTTTTAGCAGTGTTCCCTACCCTATCCTCCCACCCCTAGTAACCAACAAAGAAAGTTGCCTTCCATATGTAAACCTTTCCTTGACTTTTTGCAATAATGAACTAATACGGTATTTGTTCTTCTGTGATTGACTGACTTCACTCAGCATAATGTCTTCTAAGTTCATACACTCCTCGGAAGGAAGGTTGGGCAATCCTACTTCCGTAGTGATACTGCCTCGGAAACCCAAGGAGGGGTTGCTATGAGTCAGGTTTGACTCGACGGCACATAACAACAACAACAACAACAAGTTCATCCACATTATGCAGTGTTTTGCAGATTCTACATAATTCTTTAGGGGAGCTTTGATAGCATAGTGGCTAAAGGCACGTGACTGATAACCAGAAGGCTGGTGGTTCAAACCCACCAGCCACTCCTCGGAAGGAAGATGGGGCAATCTACTTCTGTAGTGATACTGCCTCAGAAACCCAAGGAGGGGTTGCTATGAGTTGAGTCCAACTCGACGGCGGCACATAACAAACAGCAACAACAACAGTATTCCATTGTGCGTATGTAGCATAGTTTTGTTATCCATCCTTCTGTTGATGGACACCTGGGTGTTTCCATCTTCTGGCTGTTGTAAATAGTGCTGACTGAAGTCTTTATGAAGCAAACTGCTTCATCTTTCTACCACAGAGCACTCAGTGGGCTCGAACCACCAACCTTTCAGTTAGCAGCCGAGCGCTTAACCACTGCACCTCCAGGCCTCTGTTGTGATCATAAGCATCCTTAGGAAGAGGAAGGCAGAAGAGAGGGTCCGAGAGAGAGTTGTTTGGCTCGAGGATGGGGGAGTGGCCATAAGCCAAGGAATGTGGCAGCCTCTCAAAACCGGGAGAGGCGAGTGAGCGGACCCTCCCCCACGCCTCCAGAGCAGTGATGCCCTGTCTTACTTCCCTAGTGCCGCCATAACAGAAATGTACCCCAAGTGGGTGGCTGTAGTAACCAGTGTATTCTCCGCTGTTTCGGGCATCTGAACTCAGGCCACCAGCTCTAGGGAAGGTCCTTATCTCCTTTCAACATCTGTGGGCCTAGTGTTCCTTCTCCACGTGTCTTAGTATCGTTCCCTGGGGTCTAGTAGGTTCTCAGCACAGGGACTCCAGGTGCAAAGGACACCCTCCTCTCCTGGCTCTTCTCTCTTGGTGGTAGTAGGTCCCTCCCTCCCTCTCTGCTGCCTTCCCTCTCTCTTTGTCTCTTGGAAGATACAAGGTGATGCAGGCCATGCCCCGGGAAAATCAGGCTGTGACCTGTGTGAAGGGGTCTCCTCCTACCCTAATCCCCTTGCAGCTGATTGGCTGATCACATAGATCCCAGCATGGGGCTGATTCCATCATTACCTAACTGCTAGACCACTGAGAACCACGGCCCAGCCAAGTTGACACGTATGTTAAGGACAGAGTTCAGTCTATGATGTGCCCTGACACCCTTTTCATCTTAGCCCAGTGAGACTCCTCATCCACAGGTCTGTAGGGTAGTAACTGCATGTTGTTTTAAGCCACTGAGTGTGACATGAATTGCGACTGCAGCCACAGGACACTAACGCGATGGCCAGCTCCTTCTCGTCTTCTGACTCCACCTCTCGCTGGTCTCAGCCCCACCTCCTTGAAACCACAGTCTCTCTCTGTGCCCCCCACTCCCTGCTGACCCACCATCACCTCTCACTGTATACGGGGAACCAATCATTCTTCTGACTTTCTGTTCCCTCTCCTTCCCCTGACCTGACTTTTCGCATGATCTTCCCTAGCACATTTTTGGCCTGTCTTCTCTTTCTTTGTTTGGAATCCCACCAAACCTGTGCAGGTCAGGTAGGGTCCTTTCCAGAACGAGGCGTTTTCATGACAGGACGATGTCTGTGAAAGCACTTGGCTCATGAGAGCGGAGGGGGCAGGAGTGTTGCCCTCCCATTGGCCCTCAGTGTTCGCGTGTCCAGTACGTTTTCTCCCGTCTCCTGTGGGAAACGCTGAATGGCCAGGGACGCCACCTACGGTCTCAGACCGTCCCTCAGCGGAATAACTCAGCACCTCGGGTTCCCCTTTCTCAAGGACCCAGGGGTATCCTTGTGCACGCAGCTCACGCGACTGAACAAATGGCGCTCCTCCACCATGTGATCTTTCCGACATGTGTGACCCCGACATGCTGGAATGTCCTTTGCCCTCAAACACAGGGTACATCCGAGAAGGCTTCCTGGCCGTGCAGCACGCCGTGGACAGAGCCATCATGCAGTACCACGCCAACGCCTCCACGCAGCAGCTGTTGGAGAAGGTCACTGTCGTCATGAAGAGGTTCCCGTACCCGCCGTTCATCTCGGACCCCTTCCTCGTCGCCATACAATACCAGCTGCCCCTGCTGCTCATGCTCAGCTTTACCTACACCTCCCTCAGCATCATCCGGGCGGTCGTGCGGGAGAAGGAGCAAAAGCTCAAGGTAGCCCCGCATGCATGGCTCTCACGCCATAGTGGGCCTCAGTGGGTGTCAGTGGGCGCCCCCACCCAGATCACTGCCTTCCTTCAGCATCTTTGAACTCTTTTGTTGGTGTTGGGGGCCATTGAGGCGATTCTGACTCATGGTGACCCCACAGGACAAAGTGGAACGGCCCCATATCATTTTCTGGGCTGCAGTCTTTACAGAAGGAGCCCTCGTGGCACAGTAGTTAAACTCTCAGCTGCTAACCAAGGTGAGCAGTTTGAACCCACCAGCTGTTCCACAGGAGAAAGATGTGGCAGTCTGGTTTAGTAAAGGTGACTGCCTTGGAGACCCTGTGGGCAGTTCCACTCTGTCCTCTAGGGGCGCTGTGGGTCGGAATAGACTCCATGGCAGTGGGTGTGGTTTGGACTTTGCTTCTGTGATGATTGACAGCCTTGGAGATCCTGTGGGCAGTTCCACTCTGTCCTCTGGGGGCGCTGTGGGTCAGAATGGACTCCATGGCAGTGGGTGTGGTTTGGGCTTTGCTTCTGTGAAGATTGACAGCCTGGGAGACCCTGTGGGGCAGTTCCACTCTGTCCTCTAGGGGCGCTGTGGGTCGGAATGGACTCCACAGCCACAAGTTTGGTGTTTGGGGTTTAGTCTTTATGGGAGCAGATTACCTGGTCTTTCTTCCACAGAGCTGCTGGTAGATTTGAACCACCAACCTTGCAGCTATTGGCCAGGTGCTTAATCTTTGCACCTCTGGGGCTGCTTTGAGCTCTTTGTAGCCTAGTGAATTATAGAAAACTGATGGTCATACAAAGGGTTGTTGACGCAAGTCAGCTGCACCTCCAGGACGGGCCGAGTTCCCTGGGTTGGTTTATTTCTGAATCCTCCTCCGTAGGCATCCAGGCTCTTTGAATGCCCCCTTACGGGGTCCCTCATTGGTGAAGGGGTTACTCAGCCTTTGGCTGTGTCCACAGCAACAACAGAAGAGAACACTGCGGCCTGTGCTGCTCTGGGGCAGTCCTGGCTGGGGCTCGGGCCCTTGAGTGAGCCTGTCTCTGGGGTCTGGCCCAGGTTCCTACTGCTGGGCTGGAGCCCCACGAGCAGTCAGCCAGGTGCCTGACAGACAGCTGGGGTCTCCCTCCTTCCAGCCTGGCAGGGGTGCATAGCTGGTATATCCTGCTGGCCCTGGCTCCAGCCTGGATCCCACCTAGGCAAGGGCACACAAAGGCACGCATGCACACGCATGCACATACACACAGAGACACACATAGACACACATAGGCACTGCATGCAGTGGGTGCAGGGTCCCCATGATGGACCCTGACATGCCCCCTCTCCCCAGGAGTCCATGAGTGTGATGGGCTGACAGCCCCCGGGTGGTACATGTGTGTGATGGGCCCCTCTCCCCAGGAGTCCATGTGTGTGATGGATTCACAGCCCCTGGGTGGTACATGTGTGTGATGGGCCTCTCCCCCAGGAGTACATGTGTGTGATGGCCCCCCCTGGAGTACATGTGTGTGATGGCCCCACCCCAGGAGTACATGTGTGTGATGGCCCCTCACCCAGGAGTACATGTGTGTGATGGCCCCTCCCCCGGGTGGTACATGTGTGTGATGGCCTCTCCCCCAGGAGTACATGTGTGTGGTGGACCCCTCCCCCAGGAGTACATGTGTGTGGTGGCCCCTCCCCCAGGAGTACATGTGTGTAGTGGCCCCTCCCCCAGGAGTACATGTGTGTGATGGCCTCTCCCCCAGGAGTACATGTGTGTGATGGGCCCCTCCCCCAGGAGTACATGTGTGTGGTGGCCCCTCCCCCAGGAGTACATGTGTGTGATGGGGCTGAGCAGCTGGCTGCACTGGAGTGCCTGGTTCCTCACGTCCTTCGTGCTGCTGGTCGTCGCCAGTGCCTTCATGACCCTGCTTTTCTGTGTCAAGGCGAGTGTCCAGCTCCCTGAGGTAGGGCCCGTCCAGGAGGGTGGAGGTGGAGGGCACAGGGAACCCCCCGGAGCCCCGAGCCTGCGGGCAGTCTGCAGAGAAGCCCGAGCTCTGGCTGTGCACAGCGACCTCCTCCCGTCCCGGCTGTGCCCCGTGTGCCCGGGCTGTGTGCCGTGCGTGCGTGGCTGACGGCCGGCTCCGCGCAGGTGAAGAAGGGCGTGGCGGTGCTCACCCACAGCCACCCGTCCCTGGTGTTCGTTTTCCTGCTGTGCTTCGCCGTCGCCTCCATCTCCTTCAGCTTCATGGTCAGCACTTTCTTCAGCAGAGGTCGGTCAGCCACTGCCCCAGCTGCTTGGAGTCTGGGGAAGCGGGCGGTGCCCCGGGGGCCCAGGAGCCTCAGGGCCGTGCCCGGGGACCCGTGAGCCTCAGGGCCGTGCCCCGGGGGCCCGTGAGCCTCAGGGCCGTGCCCCGGAACCTGTGAGCCTGAGGGCGGTGCCCCGAGGACCCAGGAGCCTTAGGGTGGTTCCCCAGGGACCCGTGAATCTGAGGGTGGTGCCCTGGGGACCTGTGAGCCTGAGGGCAATGTGCTGGTGATGTCTGTGGAATGAATAAACGTGCGCCTGAGATCAGGCCAAGCAGGAGAGACAGGCCTGAGGCAGGGGCATCAGGAGCTCAACTTTAGGGACGTCAGATGAGATGAGACGCAGTGGGGTCCCTGGGACGGGGGACGCGTGTGAAGCCCCGGGCGGATGTCACCTTCTGGGTGCAGGACAGTGGGGTCCCTGGGATGGGGACGCGTGTGAAGCCCCAGGCGGATGTCACCTTCTGGGTGCAGGACAGTGGGGTCCCTGGGACAGGGATGCGTGTAAAGCCCTGGGCGGATGTCATCCTCTGGGTGCAGGACACTGAGAAGAGGCTGAGGCCCGAGCCCAGAGCCCCAGCACTGGAGCTCACACCCCGGGGCAGCTCGTCCCGGGGAAGGCCCCCTGCCCCGTGGCTGCTCTCAGCAGCCCGCCTGTCCCCTCCCCACCTAGCCAACATGGCGGCGGCCATCGGCGGCTTCCTCTTCTTCTTCACCTACGTGCCGTACTTCTTCGTGGCGCCCCGCTACGACTGGATGAGCCTGCCCCAGAAGCTGCTCTCCTGCCTCCTCTCCAACGTCGCCATGGCCATGGGGGCCCAGCTCATAGGGAAGTTCGAGGCGAAAGGTGAGTGTGTTCCTCCTCATTGCGGGAGGGCACCAGCACGGGCGCCTCCAGCCAGCTGGACTCTAACTCAGAAGATGGACAGACAGGCAGGGACGGTGGTATGGCAGACACAGGCGGCAGGTGGCCGTGACGGGAGCCCCTTCCAGGAGCCCCAAGACCAGGCTTTGGGGCCTCCTGGCAGCTCTGCCGGGCGCCATCGGACACTGCCAGCAACGCCCTGGACGGCAGCATCTTTCTGCCTATTGCCGCTTTCAATGGATTGCTCACCAGTCTGTTTTATTTTTTTTATACTGTATTTCTGGTGCAAGGAGACCCAGTAAAGCAGGCTCGTTGTGGCCACATGCAAGCCACCAGTGTGACAAGCTGAGAGATGCATGGTGGGCAAGACTAACCCATAGTTACAAACCAGCCCCCAAATCCTGTCATGTTACACGTTCGAGGCGCCAGCACTTCATAACGACAGACGGGCACTACATCGTGAGGCACATGAAACGTTGTAATTATTGCAGTAGCGTGTCACAATGTTAGAGATGTTGTGGCATGTTTATAAGTGTGTCCTTAATAGTTTTTACCAACAAACAATTGTGGCGTGTCTGCAAGTGTGTCCTTGATAGTTTTTACCAACAAACGACGCTGTACACTACATATAACATTGGACTGACTGACGTCAGATATGAACCATACCTGTCATTTCAACTTACATACATATTCAACTTAGAGACAAGTTAGGAATGGAACCGATTCGCAGTCCGGGGGCTATGTGTGTATGTAATATGTAAACCAAACCAAACTCACTGGCACCACATCAGTTTTGAATCATAGTGACCCCCACTGGGTTTTATGGCAGTAGATTGTCCCATCTTCCTTCTGAAGAGTGGCTGGTGGGTTTGAACTGCCAGCCTTCTGGTCGGCAGTCAGATGCCTTAGGCACTGCATCTCCCCAGAGCTCTATGTAATACATATGTACACATATGTGTCTTCATGTTTCATGAATGTCATACATGTGGCCCATCTAGCAAGTTAATGAGCCCCTGCTGGTTTGGGGACTTAGCTGATTTCATAACTTGCTCTTGTCCTAAAGACCTAAAAAAAACAAAGCAAACTCATTGCCATTGAGTCAGATCTGACTCATAGCAACCCCTCCTTGGGTTTCTGAGGTGGTATCACTACAGAAGTAGATTGCCCAATCTTCCTTCCAGGGAGTGGGTTTGAACCACCAGCCTTCTAGTTAGCACTAGGCCACTAGAGCTCCTTAAAGACCTAAAGAAACCTACAAATTTGCTAGAAAATGAGGTGGGAAAAGTCACACCGGCTTTCATGTTGCAGCATGCGTGCACACGGAGCGGGGCACGCAGTATCGCTGTCTCCCTGTGCGTGTGCTGGCTTTCACATGACGCCGTACACACACACACAGGCCATCGGGTGGGGCCCCAGTACCACTGTCTCACGTACACTGGCTGTCATGTGTGTGCACTGGCCGTCATGTGACGTCACGCACACACACGTGGGCCATCAGGTAGGGCACCAGTACCACTGTCTCACATACACTGGCTGTCGTGTGTGCACTGGCCATCGTGTGTGCACTGGCTGTCGTGTGACACCATGCACACACACGTGGGCCATCGGGTGGGGCCGCCCGGTACCACCGTCTCCCCGTGTGTCTTCCAGGCACGGGCCTGCAGTGGCACGACCTCCTGAACCCTGTCAACGTGGATGACGACTTCTCCTTCGGGCAGGTGCTGGGCATGCTGCTGCTGGACGCGGTCCTCTACGGCCTGGTGGCCTGGTACGTCGAGGCTGTCTGCCCTGGCCAGTTCGGGGTGCCCCAGCCTTGGTACTTTTTCCTCATGGTGAGTTGTGAGGCCACTGCCCTTCCCATTGACAGCCCTGTGGGTGGGAGTGGTGGGCTCAGAGCTCACTCTCGGGCGGCCCCAGCCCCTGGTACACGCACCGCCCAGGGAGGACCAGCACGGCGCCCCCAGAGGCTCCCTCCTGAGCCAGCGCCTGCATGCAGGCCCTGCAGTGAAGACGCAAACCACAGCGGCCTGTCACCGCCACGGCCAGTGCACAGCGGCTCTGCTCCCCACTCAGACCTGTCCCCAGCAGCCTCCGTCCCACGGACAGCCCTGCAGCCTGCGGTGCTCTGGCTGCTTTCGCCCTCTCGGGAAAAATGTCTCCCTGGGTGTCTGCCCACAGAGGAAACACACTCACTGTAAAATAGAAAAAAGGACCCAAACCCACTGTCACGGGCTCTCCAAGGCTGTCAGTCTTCACAGAAGCAGAGCCCAAACCACACCCACTGCCTGGAGTCTATTCTGACCCACAGCGCCCCTAGAGGACAGAGTGGAACTGCCCACAGGGTCTCCAAGGCTGTCAATCTT